AGTGCGGTCCTCTTCTCTAGGAAGCCTTTCTGTGCTGTCTCCACACCCCAAACTCTTTCGGACACCTACTTGTTCATCATTCTCCTCAGATTACCTTGAGAGTTCCTTCAGGAATGAATTGAGTAACGGACAATTTCCACTAGGTGAGTTTTTGCCAGAATTTTATTTTGGGTTTTGCCAACTGTTAAAACTTCCAGAAAATTTTGGGGACTGACAGACTTTGTGTATATATTTAATATATGGGCCAAGTAACAACATAGAAAACTGAACAAAACTACTATTGCGTTATTGCCATTGTTTCATAAAAACACATTTGAACACCAAAAAAGTGGGGAGGACGTAATTTCAGAATAAAGAATCATCCTTTAAATTAAACACGTTTATCTTTAACAAAAAACCACATTACCCTTGTCTTATTCATTTTGCTGTAGACCATTGAGAACACTGTCATGGAAACCACCAGAAAGATGCAGGAAAGAAGAAGAGACACTGGAGAATGTTGAAGAAGGGAAGGCGAAGGGACAGGGAATGGGGTGGACAAAGGTCTACCAGTGAGGTGCTCTCCTGCCCTGAAGTGACCCCCATTCTCCTCACACAAGACTGGGGTGGCCAGGTTTGGGCCCTAGCCAAAGGGCAGAGCTGTGGCCATGGTCGCAGCCACCAGGGAGGGTGACCACCCTCACCCCACTGGCCCTGGAGACCCTGGTGATCAGGCTGCCACCCCCCTGACACTGCAGAGGCATCCTGGACTTGTGCTTGTGACCAGTGCCAGCTGGATGTGGGAGACAGGCGACTGGTACAGGAGAAAGAGCACGGGAGTGAGAGTCAGGAGCCTGGGTGTAGGCCTGGCTCTGTTGAGTCACTTAGAGAAGTCCCTTCCTTCTCTGGGCCGCACTTTCCTCACCTTAAAATGAAGGTTCTGAACAAGTCTCGAGTCATTTCTGAGAAAAACAGCAGCCCTCTGTCTTAAAAAAAAAAAAAAAAAAAGCCATGTACACAGTATTTTGTGTAGAATTTCAGGGGCTCCACCACTCCATCAGGGCCTTCAACAAACTTCCCAGGGGTCCCCGGACCCCAGATCAAGATCCCCAACCGGCCAATCCTGACACACAGCTTCTGGCCTCTTGCCCCCGAATCCACCTGTTTCACGAGCAGTCTACACTGTTTCCCAATTATCTCACACTCACGATGGCAGGGCCAAATGCCTCAGGGAAGGAGGGAACTCTGTAGGAAGAATTCTTAGCCCCTGGGCCTCCTCTCCAGTTCACAGAGGAGCTGGGAGACCAACGAGCTTCATGGATGGGCAACTAGCTGACCAAACAGCAGGACGCAGATCTGAAAAGAGTTTCAGACCGTGACTACTGGAGGGAGAGGACATGATGATGACAGGAATCTTTTCACTGGGGACAAAGTCTGCTGGCCACCCAAGGCAGTGTAGGGCAGTGGTAAGAACTTGGGCTCAGTAGCTAGAATGCCCTGGGTTTATACATGTTGTAGGGGAGGAAGACATTTCCTCTACCTGCTCTGGGTCCTTCTGGCCTGACAATGAATTAAATTCACATGAGACAGAATAACAGGAGAACATTAAACAAAGCTTTATAACGTGTATACATGGGAGAGGCTCAGGCAAACTGAGCGATTCGCCAAAATGGCGGAAGCCACCACCTTAAATACCATCCTCAGCTAAAGACAAAGTAGGATGTTGGGGGTGGGGGGGTGGCCAGTTATGGGAGATCACCAGAAAAGCACAGTAAACAAGAGTCAGGTTGTTATGCAGACTTGAGTTCTTGCCTTCCTCATTGATAAGAGTTTCTAGAGATAAGGTCATCCCCTCTTCTTCCTGGTACAGAGAGGGAGACACCTTTACAGATGGAGATTTCCTCTACAAATGTAAATGTCTCTTAACACAGGGTAACTTCTGCCTCTCAGAGCTTCTCTCCTGTTTGCAGTTTTTAAAAGTAACCAACCCAGGGGCCAGCCCCATGGCTGTGGCCGAGTGGTTAAGTTCACGCTCTCCTCTTTGGCCGCAGGGGTTTCACCGATTTGGGTCCTAAGTGCTGGCATGGCACTGCTTATTAGGCCATGCTGAGGCAGCATCCCACATGCCACAACTAGAAGGACCCACAACTAAAATATACAACTATGGGGGTTGGCCCTGTGGCCGAGTGGCTCTGCTTCGGTGGCTCAGGGTTTTGCGGGTTCAGATCCTGGGCACAGACATGGCACTGCTCATCATGACATGCTGAGGTGGCATCCCACATGCCACAATTGGAAGGACCTACAACTATGTACCAGGAGGCTTTGGGGAGAAAAAGGAAAAATATAATCTTAAAAAAAATTAAAAATTAAAAAAATAAAAATATACAACTAGGTACAGGGGGGATTTGGGGAGAAAAAGCAGAAAAAAAAAAGTAACCAGCCCAAAATAACCCTCATGCCAAAGAGAGGTATCTTGGGGTGGCCAATTCCTGTCCCCTACAATGTCTGTGGCTTAATCATGTTATTTTATCTTGAATTTTGGGTTCCTCATCTGTAAAATAGGGATAAGATTATACAACAGAAACAACAGTACACACTTAATATTCCAGGAATCCCTTGAATTTCCCAACCTCCCCTGCAGAAAGTCAAGGTCATGTGACTAGTTCTGGCCAATGGTCTGTGAGTGGAAGAGGCATGTGTTACACCTGGCTGAGGCACCTGAGTGTCCATGAGCTTCCTCCATCTCTCTCTTCCATCTTCCATAATGACCTCAGAGGCCAGTCTTCCAGATGTCATGGAAGATGCCGTACAAGATGGAAAGAAAGTTCTCCTGCCCCGTATCAGACTTTACAGGAGAGATACATAAAGGATTACTGTGCCAAGTCACTGAAATTTCAGGAGTTCTCTGTTATGAGAGCTAACGTTAATTACCTGACAATACAGGGAGGGCTAACTGAGGTAATAGATACAAAATCCTGTGAGGACAGTGGGGGCTGTTCCTAGTGTTAGAGAAAAGACCTGAGCCCCCTCCATTAGTCAGCTGGGCTGCCATACCAAAATGCCATAGACTGGGTGGCTTAAATGACAGAAATTTATTCCTCACAGTTCTGGAAGCTGGAAGTCCAAGACGAGTACGTCTGCAGGGTCAGGTTATGGTGAGGGCTCTCTTCCTGGGTTGCAGGTGGCTGCCTTCTCACTGTGTCCTCACATGGTAGAGAGAAAGGCAGCAAGAGGCGTTTCCTTTCATGAGGACACTGATCCCATCATGAGGGATTCTCATGTTCTCATCTAAACCTAAGTATGTCCCAAAGGCCCCATCTCCAAATATTATCACACTGGGGGAAGGGGTTTAACATATGGATCAGGGTGGGTGGGGGTGGGCACAATTCAGTCTATAGCACCCCAATCAAGACAGGGCTCCTCAGATCTTTTCTTAAGAGCCTATTTTAAAAAGCAGGGGCTCGCCCAGTGGCACAGTGGTTAAGTTTGCACGTTCCACCTCGGCGGCCTGGGGTTTGCCAGTTCAGATCCCGGTGTGGACACCGCACCACTCAGCTAGCCATGCTGTGGCAGGCGTCCCACATGTAAAAAAGTAGAGGAAGATGGGCACGGATGTTAGCTCAGGGTCAGTCTTCCTCAGCAAAAAGAGAAGCATTGGCAGCAGATGTTAGCTCAGGGCTAATCTTCCTAAAAAAAAAAATAAATAAAATAAAAAAATAAAAAGCAGAAGCAGGCAAGGGTGGGGTGAGGTGGGAGTTTCATCCAGAGGGAAATGATAAGCAAGCCCTGCCCCCCGACCCCCAATTCCACTGCTGCATGCAGCTTTCCCTTAACTCTCCTCTTCCTTCTGAGTCTTCCTTTCTCTGATACCGGCTCAACACAAGGTTGACATAAGGGAAGCCATATTGCAGAAAAGAAACCATATTGTAACTTTGAATGAGCTCGGTAGATTTTGTGGCCCCTCCTAGCTGCTTTAAGATGATAACCTGGTTCTTTTGAGTTCCTTAGGAATGTGATGACCCCTGGACAGAGAGCCTATGCTGATAGCCATCATCAATGACAACTGAAAGATCAGGGTAGAGGGCAGTTGCTCCACTCTCTGATGCATATCCAGTAAAACAAAGGACTATCAGGAACTGGGACCAGATGTCTGCCCCCTCCCATCCCCAGATCAGATGGAGGCCCCACCCAGAGACCAGATGCTGCCCCCACCTGGAGACCAGCCCCCTGTATTACTGGCCTGTAGTCTTTGTTCTGTAAGATGGCTCTTTCTGACATGAGTCATCCATCTTCCCTCTTGCTAGCAAGTAATAAAGTCCTTTCTCTCCTACCACCTTGCATCCTGACTATTGGCATGTCTTGCCATGAGCAGATGACTTGGGTGGTAACATCTCCCGTCCATTTTGCCCTCATACCTTGACTTTCCTACAATTCAGAGACAAACTCAGCCAATTAATGGCCTCATGAGGACCGGAAGAGGTCTAGGTCTTAGAGGCCATCTTGTCTTACCTCCTCATTCTTACAGATGACCAGACTGGGTCTGGAGAGGGTACTGGAGGCACCAGAGGCAGCAGCTGGCTTATCCAAAAGATGGAAGGGGCTGGGGGCAGGGGTGGGGAGCAATTTGGTGCAGCAAGGGCAGAGAGTCAGACATCAAGAGGGAAGATATCTTCATTTCAGCATAAGTTCTGCATAATTTTTTAAAAAATAAAATGTTATTTTACAGTTTTAAGTTTTTATTTGGAAATAACACACGTGGAGGCCCCTAAGGCCTCTAAGATCTAACGCCCGGCCTTGAATCGGGGTCTCAGGGAGCGCCTTTCCTTCTCCCGTTTCCGGGCCTGGGGGCCTCCTCGGCGGCGCAGGAAAGGGCCTCTGCCGGGTCTTTGCCTCCGGTCTTGAGCAGCCTGTGATCATTAACCTCCTCACCCTCCGCCGTCGCCGCGGGCGGGCGCCGGGTCACGTGGCAGCAAGGGGTTTAGGCCCGCGGCCCCGCGAGCCCGCCGGACCTGGCCGCTCAGCCCATGGCCGCAGCCGCTGCGCTCCTCGCGGGGGTCCTGCTCCCCTGCTGGGGCGCCTTCCCGCAGCTTAATAAGGGGCTGTTGAAGGTGAGCCCAGAGAGCGTTTCCAACCTTCCCCCATAGCAGAGAGGGGTGGCCGAGGCCTCTTGGTCTATCCACAAGGCGCTGGGTGGGTCTGGAAAGGGAAGTGGGGGGATGAGGGTGGAACCCACCCCAAACTGGGGACTTGTTTCCAGGCTGGATGCTTGATACGTTCCCAAATGGACCTCAAAGCCCTGCGTCACCCCGCTGGTGGCTATGCAGGTGAAAGAAAGTGACCTTCTGACCAGCACCATCCCCTCCCTCCCCACAGCCACTCTGGCCGGCTATCTCTGTCCTGGCCCCCCAGCCACACTTTACCCACTTGCTCTAGTTTCTCCCCCTCCCCCCTCTTCTGGGCACCAGGACTCTTTCTTTCCTTCCCCATCTTTCTCTCCCCCCTCCCCCCCTGGGATCCTGGAGTATTTGCTGCCGGAGCAGAGGTGGCCTTGTGGGATGCGCAGAAGGCGGGGGGGGGGGGGGGGGGGGGGGGGGGGGG